AAAAAAAAAAAAAAAAAAAAAAAAAAAAAAAAAAAAAAAAAAAAAAAAAAAAAAGTATAGGACCCCACCTCGGTTGTCCACGTGAATGATAACGGATGCTCGTGTAACAATATAAGCCCGAAATGCCGTATATATATACATATACATTCCCAATGAAGATCTTTCATAAATATGTTCGAGTCCGAAACGACGTGAATCGCGCAGGTACCGGCAAAACCCTGGTCGCCAGCGCCCTGGCCGTCGAGTGCAGCAACTCGGAGCGCAAGGTCTCGTTCATATCGCGCAAGGGGTCCGACTGCCTGAGCAAGTGGGTCGGGGAGAGCGAAAAGAAGCTCCAGAAGATCTTCCAGACCGTAAGAGGCGAAAAAAAAAAAAAAAAAAAAACAAAACAGTTTGTTTTGTAAAAGTATACGAATCAATCGATCTTGAAGCCATTACGTTATTCTATACTAAGTACTGAGGTGTGTGGTTAATACAAGCTCTTTAAAAAACCGTATAGGTACTTCATACCTTTCAAAGCTATACACGCGGCATCAATGTATCAGTCAAACGCAAACACCCGTAGCTCCCTGACGGCGGGAGAAAAAAAGATTTCCACGCGCAAATAAGTACGCCGGCAAGAGAAAACACTCCTTCCTCATCGACGGCCTTTCTGGCATCCCCTTCTCCGTACAGCATTTACGTACAAGTATATACAAGCGGTATGTAAGTGTGGGTGGTATGATAGAGGGTATACCGCGCAAGTATATACATACGTGTAGATATATATATATATAATACGTGTGTACAAAAAACAGAGTGCTGAACGCGTATACGTACGTATGTATACCTATGTATGTTGTGGAACGTATTCAGCAAAAGAGAGAAAGACAGCCGAGCGACGGCGGAAATGACCGAATCGCCGAGAGGAGAGCAAACCCCTCGACGTTTTTATAATTTGTTTGTAAAGCTTATTAATTATCATACACAAATTAATAATAAAGACACTAGCTATTTCTAAACACATACAATTAATTTAATTATCTACTTATTTATGCACACTACAAAATGATAGAATCTCTGAAAAATTGACATTTAACGTGACTCAATCACGAGAGCAAAAATATTTTGTTAGAGTTCATTCTCTTTGTTTTGGTGTCAATAAGTGGTGTCATAGTTTGTCCTGTGACACCCACACTTTTGCTCTAAAGAAAATAATTAAAAAATAATAGGTTCCTTATTCAAATAAAATAATACCATACAGTGAAATGTTTTTCAACCATCATAAATAAAACGTTTTTAAAAATTCACCGTTAAAGTTAAATTTATAAGAAAATTAATAAAATTTCTTTCGAACATTTGGCACCAAAAGTTATTTATTATTTATATTTACGAAAGAGAAGTTAGTCTAACATGGTATTAATTATTATTTTAGTACAAACAAATAGCTTTCTCAAAATTCGATTGAAAACTGTTTTCATTCATGTGAAAAATGTTTTTACTCTTTTATCACGTAACAGCGAAGTTGTCCATTATTCTTGGACCACAGGAAACTTTTTACACACTTATGCATCGTACTACTGGTATAAAAGATGCTTGGAAAATCGGTTAGTTCGGATAATCAAACTTCATATTGTAATGTACCGGATTTTTAATAAAAACAATATTTATAATGATGAATCTCTTTTATTTTTATAGAAAGTAGAAATAAAGTAAATAGAGACAGTCTATTGATTAAAATATAATTTGTAATATATAGATAATGCAAGAATAACTTTTAAATTGTAGTTGGTTGAAGCGAGCATCATACGAGCAGCCAAGTCGCGTACTTTTTTGAGGACAGATATCTGATGTTGGCCACTTCCACTTGAAGCTTCGAACTATTGCAAGGCAGTACCCAAGCCTGTAGGTGCTTCAGAAGCAGCTGGTACATGTCCATTTTCATTACCTGTAACTACAATTATATATCATATTTAACATTTTTTTATATTTTTTTTATTTTTTTACAAAAAACAGAATGTTCTCACCTTTCACAACAATTTTTTGGGACTTTTGTATCGACTCAAAGCGATTTTTAGCCAGACACGAATAGTTTCCACTATCTTTTTCAGATGCATATTTTATAACTAGTTTTTGATTATTATCTGAAAGACTTGGCTCATCCGATTTAGCACATTTTTAGCGAAAGTACGTAGTTAAATTTCATAAATCGTGACAACGCTAGGGGCCAAAATATAAAAAGTAAAAAAAAAAAAAAAAAAAAAAAAAAAAAAAAAAAAAAAAAAAAAAAAAANNNNGGGGAACAAAAAAAAAAAAAAAAAAAAAAAAGAGAATCATCTCCGTCCCAGTGTTAACTATATCTCTTCCTCGGGGGTGGTCCACAAGTGACTCTCGACGCGATGAAAAGGAGACGCGACTGTTGTCAGCCGTGAGGTAATCGCGCGCGAGTTTTTTTGTTTTCGTTTACTCGCACGGCGGCTAAACTTTGGTGAAACCCTCGACCCGGTGTTTAACGCACGCGTATGCAAATATAGTTCGGGCCGGGGTGCATCGAGAGTGAAAATATACAGCGCAGCCGCGAGTTTGTCCGCTGTGCGCGGAAAATCATCGGCCAGGATGATGATAATGATGACGGGAGAGTCCGATTGACCCGAGGCCCAAGTGCCATAGGTATACTGATTTTGCGTGTGCGAAATTAACCTAATTGGGCCAATACACACCTCGAGCTCCTTGATATGGACATCGAGAGAGAAGTGTAACAACGAGCTGTTCCTCTCCCTTTTTTTTTTTTAATTTTTTTCATCAAGTATATCGTTCCCTCACGATCGTCGGGGTAGTTTTGACGAACCGGCCGTTACTCTCATCGGCGCTCCACGTTCCGTGGTCCGTTTAAATAATGGCCAGCTGAAAGAGCGCATAAACCGGGGATTCCCATAGTGCATCGGCTGATCGCGCACATAGCGGGACGTTTAATCACGCCGGGTGATTGCAGTTCGGTGTCGACGCAGAGGGTTGTCGAGTGTACGGGAAAAATTACTCGCGTTTATGAGAGTTTTCGTTCTGAATAAGGGGGGGGGGGGGGGAAAGGGCGGAACAGTTCGTTGTGTGTGCACCAAATGAAGGGTACGTAACCCTTGATTCTCTCGGTGTGGTGATCAAAGGCCGATTTGGTATTAAGGTATAGGAGACAGCGCCAACACAAAAGTACACCATCGGATAGACAGGACAAAAGAGTAGGAGCACCGGGTCGACCGGTAGGAGACAGAGCCGGCAGGATGGGCAGCAGGTCCGTGGAGGCCTCGGTGGCGAAAAAGTGCCGGTCCAAGGAGGGCCTGCTCGGAGGGAGTTCCGAGCAGTACCAGCAGCAGCAGCAGCACAATGGCAGCTCGGTCAACTGGACGATGTGCCTGCTATGCGTGACGAGTCTCGCGGTTTCGGGGCTGCTGGCGTACCGGGAGCACCGGCTCGAGATGCGCATCGCCAAGCTCGAGAGCGCCTGCCGAGTGATGGATGATGGACCCCACCAGCAGGATAACGTGCTCGTCAAGAGGCTCCAGCGGGAGGTCAAGCAGCAGATCGAGGAGGTGCAGAAGAGCCTTGCCGCCGGTGGTGCTGTGGATGCCGACGGGATCTTCAGGATCAAGAGGGAGTCCGCCGACTGCAGCTGTCCGCCAGGTAAGTGCAGAGAGTGGGTGCTGTTGTACCCTATTTATCCCCTCCCCTTTCCCCTTTCTGTCAGACTTTCGTTTCTTTTAAACTGCCGGTACACGAATATGTGTGTGTGTGTGTGTGTGTGTGTGTGTGTGTGCAGTACATATTATTGTATACGTGTGGGCATGCACGCGAGCAGCGCAGCTGTTCCTTATTTATATAGATATGTGACTGCGCTCTCTTGCCAAGTTGTCGTTTTTTTTTTTAAACTATAGACGTTGATCGCTCAATCGAGTAACAATTCAATCGTTGCCTATACGTGAACCAACGTCAGGTACTTGTTGAATATGCTATAACAGTTGAATATTTTTAAATATTTTTATAACGAAATTTGCTTTTAAAGTACTTTTACACGATTTTTTAACGCAGTGTATTTGCATACAAGTTAAACGTATCGAAGATACAATCATGTAGTACTTGTATATTTTTATAATTCGAATAGGTACCTGAAAGTAAAGCTGTCACTTTGACAGTTGATGTTTATACGTACGATACTGTTAATTTTGCCCGAAACATATATGAAAAAGGTAAAAAATTATTATTATCGCGTTATACAGCAATTTGTTTTGTAAAGTTCGCAAACATCGTTCCAACTTCCGACAGTACCGCACAATCCAGAGCGGAGTCGAGTGCCATTGTAACATAAGCCGGCAAACAAGAAGTAACTGCTCATGAAAATCATAGCACTCGTGTATGCCGTACGGAGCAATTAATCAAATTGTCTCTTCCATCCTTGTAAACTGTCGAGGCGCAAAGGTACATATATAGAATAGCCACGTGTGCATGTACACCATCTCACGTACTCTTATTATATACCAGTTGCGCGAGTTTGCACAGTTTTTTTTTTGCTCTCGTACGAAAAGAAAGTATGTAAGAGAGTCTCTTGTCACTCGCAAGAGACAAGACAACAAAAAAAAAAAAAAAAAAAAAAAAAAAAAAAAAAAAGAAAAGAAAAGCAACGGCAGTGCAAAGAGAGCTCTAGAGTACCCAAGTATGTATACGTATGTATGTATATATACATAGACAAGGACAAGGGAGGGTTTGAAAGATGCGAGGCGAAGAAGAAATGGGACGGGAGGCGTGCGGCGCGTTGAAAAGAAGGGGGATGAAACAACGCGACGCTCTACACGTGCACCCGTAAGTATATTATGCATGTGCATATCTCCTCCGACTTATAATCCGTGCGAGCACTTACCTCCTCTTCAATTGCTTGTTTTGTCGGCTTATCTTGGGGGGGTGTAAGTATATTTACACTCTGTTAAACGCGCTCTCGAACGTGTGAGTTTGTTTACGCACCTTTTCACAGTAAAAAGTGTACAAATAACTACAGGAGCAGTGTACCTAAATATACTGATATGGAGTATTGATTCGTGTGTTTAGATGCTTGTATTTTAATAAATATAAGTTTACACGGGTAAATCCTGCTTATTGATAACTGGACACACGCGTTAATTTATTGTCGAGTGTATTTTTCGTCCGAGCTCACGGTAACAGCATGGAAATCCCATTGTGAATGAATAAAAGAAATTCCATTTCCAACCTTTTCTTCTTTTTTATTTACATCTCTTCAAGAAGCATTATACGTATGGTGTCATCAGCCACATAACAGCGAGCAAGCCGGTCATTCAACGTCAAAGTTTCTCCTGGATGGAAATGTTTTCCCACTCGCTCACTCTCTCGGCAGTAGAGCACACTCGAATCGTATAATTACTCGTACTAAACGTAGAAAAGAGGGGAGTTGGGCGGAATATCCTCTCAACGTTAAAAAGCCGAGCGAAAGCATTTAAAGGTAAAAGCAAAGCGTCCAAGGAGTACAAGAGGAGCGTCCCGCCCTTCCTCGTATAATTATCATCTCGCGGTATGAGTGCGTATAATACAGGGTACGGTAGCTTTTTAGTTCTCTCTTCGGTCCATCTGGTGCCCGATGCAAGTAGCACACTGGCTTGGGTTTCGTGAAATAAACGTATTTAGATTATATAGTTCCATCAGGTAAAGAGCACTTTATTGCACATAATCCAAAAAACCCATCGATTCCGCGGGCTGTATATTATCTTGTCATGGGTCACAATTTCATTGGCAAGCACATGAGATCGGATAAAAAGCGAGCCTTGACTTCGACACCCGCGACAAGGGCGGAAGGGAGTTGGAATTTTCCCTCCCCCACCTATATATTCTCGTCTCTTTGGTCCTTTTTGTCTATACCCTGTTCTCTCTGCCGCGTCTATTTTCGATGCCATCTCGAGTACGAGGAAAGCCTCACGGACAATTCCGTCTTCTCTCGCTCGCCTCCTCCTCCTCCATTTAGCTTTATCGCTTCCAGTTTCGCTACGGTGGAGTGTTAGAGGCATACCGGCCTACTCCTGTACTGCTCCCATATCGAGGAGGAAAGGGGGGAGCAGCTCGGGTGTTATAAATCTGGCGCCTCTCTCTTTGTTGCGTCTACGTCTGTTTAACTCCCATGCGAATGTGCATTGTATAACCATTGCGTTGGATATACTTATGACACGCGTGATGCACGTAGTGACGCGTGCGCGATTGAAAAGACTGTGTACACGCATCTCTTTACCATCAGCACACCTATCTCCTATATATGTATGTATTCCTTTGGTTTTCTCGTCTCGTTTGCTGGTCTTTTGTCGTTTCCTTTCTTTTTTTTTTCTCTCTCCTTCCTGGCGCAAGTGTCAGCTCTGGATGTTCAACGGGAAAGAGAAAAAAAAAAAAAAGGAATCACAATATACACGCGTGATTAATGACCCATAGCTCTGCTTATTATGCGTTCCAACGCGAAATAATATATGTAAAAGTGCGATGCACGTGTCATCGTCTCGGGGGCGAACAAGGGGCATTGTGCCAAACAATGAGATGCCTCAGCGTTTTTTTTTTTTGGTAATGGTAATACTGGAATTTTCCTTTCCCCTCCTCTCGGGAGTCAATGTCAAGTAGCCCGAGTTTAATTGTTTTACGATGCATCGGAGCAATTAGTTTAGCTTTAAAAAAAAAAACAACTCCCGAGAGATGAATAAAAATCCAGGTCGTCAAAAGGGGAACAAAAAAAAAAAAAAAAAAAAAAAAAGAGTCGAAGCCAAGGCAATGGAAGGTAAGGGTAGAAGTAATGGAGTAAAATAAAGATGGAACGCAGACGGCATATCGCGGTATAAGAGAAGCTGGTTGCAGCAGTCCCCCACGATAAAGCGGCGAACGACCGTACACGTATATATGTGCGTTGGATGAAACAACACGCCCATGGATGTATATAATATATAATGTATACGTGCTATTTTTATACGGTCGCGCGGTAACATCGTCCGCCACTCTCGATAAATGTAACCAGAAAATATTAAGGATATATGATAAAGGAGTATATATACCCAGGTGCACCACGACCGGAATCGCGTGTGGTGTGTGGCGCGGATGTATACCTTATTCCTCCTTGCCTCCGAGTGTGCGGCGATACGACCGCACTTTTCGTCGCCGTGAAAAATGCGCGTGCACGTTTATGGCTCTTCTTGGTGGGACGTTATAAAGTCAGACGCTGATTTTGACCGCGTGCTTTGCTTTGGCTGTATACATTCGCACCGCGACGTTTTTTATTCGCCCTCCCGAGAGAGTCTATACATCATCGCCGTGTATACGCCTTATTAGACCGGAGTATTTTTATACGCCCGCGAGAGCATGTGTAGGCCGCGGATTCTTTATTGTTCATTGTGTTTGCGCTAATGCGTTTCGTTCTGGTCTTTTTTTTTTTTTTTTTTTCATCTCCATGTGTGCAACACCATTCAATTGAAAGTGGATCCTTTGTAGTGTTTGGCGTTGCACATGGCCAACGCGGCGTAGTCTTGCGTGTTTTTAGATAATCCTCGCCTGCAGCTCGTGTTTGAATTATTTGCAACTATAGGGTTCTCAAGCATATTATAACCTCCAGAGGTTCATATAAACTTGTAGCTGTATCTGGTTATTTAGTCAAATGAACATTTTCATCTCAACATTGGGTCTTGAGATCTTATCTGACATTTACATTGATTTTATTACTTGGGTTTTAGGGTGGATGGCTCACCGAGTTCATCAAAACATGTTAGATTCAAGTATTATTCCAGATTTACTGCAACATATTCTGCAAAGTATAAATAATCTTGAAAAAAAGGTTAAAGGTACTTTCTCGATATCTTTAGTGATTATAGTAATGCATCATCAACCTTTTGCACGTAACCGAATGTACAAAATGTCGTGTTTTACGTAGGAAATAAATCCAGCTAGTTCTCCAATTCACAAGACTCCAGAGTCTGTATAAATCTGACTCGTGATAAAGATCTAAAAGCCAACAAGGTTTTCCCCACATCTTGTTGCAAGATTACCTCATTTCGTGCACCTTTACATTGCCAACGATAAATTGAAATTTTTCAATTTCCAAGAAATTTCAGCGTGTGAAAACACCCCGAGCAACACAAAGCATCACTGCGAAAAAAAAAGGGGAGAGATTCTAATCGATAAACGCAGGAAATTCATGAGCTAGCATGGCCAAATTTATCAAAAATTAAGTACTTAACCACGGCTTTGGAATTATCAAATATAGCTGGTAATAAACGTAGGTAAGAAGGACGGAGCTTTGCGAAATGAGGGGTGCTTACACGAGCCATCGTCGGGAAAGAACATGTTGTTCATAGTTTTCATGCATCGTTTGAGTTAACGCGGCGACGAAACATGGCTTTTCGCATCGAGTTACCGAGCTGGCGGCACAACGAATTGAATCTCGCGTTTTCCGATTCGGTGCCAGTCAGTCGTCTCTCACCGGAAAGTTCGAAGGTACGTTGTCGTCCCTATGATTTGAGCACCGGCGCGGCAAACTTCCACCTGAATTCCTGCTTGGGAATGAACAGCAGGACTTTGGGACACTTTCGACGGGTCAGTTTAACGAATGTGACGCAAAAACAGATGATGTGGGACTTTTACACGTCGTCGGTTATAGT